AAAATAAAAAATAAATTTAATAATATTATAAGAATAAAAAAAATATTTTCCGAATGTTCTACCTTGGGGGAAAAAACCACTATTTATATATTCAGATACTCAGACTATATTATTTCCAAAAGTATAGTACGTCTTACCTTTTTATAATTACTTATCATTGTTATTTTTTAAAAAAAGGAATTAAAATACTACTTCTCTTCAAAAGATTTGTTCCAAACATGTTAGTAAAAGTTTAGAAGCATTATTAAATTATATTTCTTAATAGTACATCAAAATACGTTAAATTAATCACTATCCTGTGAACTACTTTGGCATATTTAATATACAAATTAAATCTAAATCTAAAAAGACTTATGACTAAAACTCTTTATCCATTTGTACCGAAAAAAGCTCCTTGTTCTTCAATCAAACGACCATTAGTACAAAACCAACTTTTAATGCTTGAAATGAGTTAATCTCTATAATTGCTGATTCAACAAAGAAATTTCAATAAAAAGTACTTTTGCTTTACTTTTCCATTGTCTGCTAGTAGTATATTAATTATGTTCTCAATCGTTTCTAACAGCATCCACTTCATTTAATTCAGAACTAATAAGTTATCATGATACATGATTAAGTCCATGATAGGTATCTTACAATTATGAAAAGCAAATAAGATGATTAAAGTCAAAGACGATATTCTACCATATAACACGCGACAATAATCTTTCATGTAGCATGCGTTGAATCGCTTAAAGGAAAAGAATGTTTTTAAACATTTATATTTAATAATGATGTGTTTTTATTTTTTTAAAAAACAAAAATACAACACTAGTCATTTAACCGGTAAAAATTATTATTCATGATTTTTCTTGACGTGCACAATTTATTAATCTAACTTTAATTGGACCGTATTTAATGATTTATTAAAAAATTATTGAATAATATTTTAGTATAAATTAAGTTTATTAAATTTTATATTAACATAAAAAAATATTAAATACCCCGCTTGATAAAAGTAAATTAATAATAGCTCAAAATTTTAACTTAAATATTGATCTATCTGAAAAGTATTTTTATTTAATTTTAAGCTGTATTTTTATCACTAATTTTGTTCCCTGTTTATATTGAAGTTTAGGAAAATTAAATGAAATCTTGATCAATGGATTATTGTACAATTATAAAATTTATAAAAAAAATAAAAAAAAATCATAAGTGGTTGATGATTTAATTTGAATGAACAGATATGTAAAAAAGGAGGGAGACTGTGTGAAAAGAAAAGGTAAGGAAGAAAGGAGCATTTTGATAGAGAATGGGAAAGAAGTGAGAAAGCTTATTGGTGAAGCTTTTGCTGACTAACATCACATGTCCAATGAGATCCTACTTCCATGAATCTACTCAGTACTAAACCATGTGGGCCTCCCACATTGGGCCCAGTAACCAAACAAACAGCCACATGTAACTTGCAAGAGGGCCTTCTACCAAATGGTCCCACCCACAAGACACAAATTTGAAAACTCTCCTATATTTCAAATTCTATTACACAACACAACCAACCAAGTCACCGAATTCTCAAGTGAACTTATTCTATATCACGTTTATGGGCCAAGAGACAAAATAGCTCGAATTCACTCGGAGGAAAACATTTGACTCTTACGTTACCATCGAAATAGCCAAAAAATAACAAAGAGAAAGACGAAATAGCAAACAATGTTTTTTTTTATAAATCGTCTAGTATAGAAAACAATTGTCAGCCAAAAAATAAAAAGGTATAAAACTCACTTTTTAATTTTTCACAAATAAGTGCAAAATTAAATAATATACACTTAAAATATAAACGTCTTTAAAAAAATACTGATCAAATTATTTTATTTATTTTATTTCAAAATATTATTTATTTAGTTATATAATTTTTTTATATAGATGATTAAAGTAAAAAAATAACTAATAAGAAATTTATTTTTTAAAAATATTTTTTAATTTCTTTTTACTGTATATATATATATATATATATATATATATATGTATGTATATATATATACACTTTATTTCTCATCTATTTTTTTTTATCTTATTTCTCTTGATAAATCAATTAAATTTTCATTCTATTATTTATCCATCTTCACCCACTTATTTCTCTCTGCCTTATTTCTCTCTACCTTATTTTTTCTACCAAACGCAGTTAAAGCAGCTCAATTTTACAAGAGTTATAAATAATATCTGTGATTAATAATAAAATCAACTGTAAATATTACATACACTCGTAATTATGAATGTATTGGGACACCAGCCGGTGACTTTTTTCCTTATCAATCAAGATTCCTTTACTTTTCTCCCTTAAAAAGACAGAAATCCCGAAGGAAAAAAGCATTAAAACGTACTGAACCATCAGCCTCAGGCACTGCATTACACGAGATTTTTCATTTATCTTTTTTCTTCCCGCCTTTAGCTAATGGCTAAAAGATGGACAAAATTGTGTCCATAATAATCAAACATTTCAATAGTAAAATAATTTACAAGTGAAGATAATTTGTGGAAGAGAGAGGATCCACTGAGGGGAAAAAATAACGTTAAAGCATACAAGAAGATATGTCAGTGTTCATGGCAGAATTTTGATCGGAGGTTGTCCAGAATCTCTGCGTACTCCATTGGAGTTGCCTCACTACAGAACACTTCATCCCAGATCTTGCGTATGTCTGCACAAAATGCAACCAACTCAATCAATCAGAATCACAAACCTAGCAACAATTTCCTTTACCCTTAACTAGTAAGCATGATTTTTTTGGGTCAGTTGGTGCTGGAGACCCTAATTTACTTTCTTCTGTTTCTTTTATCTTCATTTTCTTGGTGGAGGGAGAGACGGAGACAGAGATTGAAAGGTCCGACTTCACCCCTTTCTTCTCTAACCATCTCATGCTCTAAACCTCCCGTCATACCTACTTATCTTTCCTCTTTCTTCTACCCATACGTGTTTATCTTCTGAAACCTTTTAACTTTCAACAGATTTCAAGAAAGCATGGCAACAGAAACACTTAGAATTTTACTAATATAAAAATTGCATACCATCCTTATTTGTTGATGAAAGGCACATTACAATCACATCAAATCTTGGTATCTTGGTCAGATGCTCCATATAACTAACAACCAGATCCATGTCTTCACTGCCACAAGAGCAAATTCAATATCATGAATTCATGATCAAAGCTCAAACAGAAGTCAAAGCAATAAAATAATGTTTTCAAATGGAGATGACTACTTACGTGGAAAACGATGCAAGACACTTGATGATGTCAATTAGCAGGGTAGAAGATAAGGCATTTTTGAATATTTTTGGTAATTCGTGGGGAGATATAGCCTAACATACAAAACGAAAAACAGTTTATACATGAAACAGAGTACCGCAAACCATAAATTTTAACATAAAATGGCATCTCTTGTTCTAATGAATGCCAAATATGCTAGAAATTGACAATATAACGAAATTAAAAATTAACAAAAAATGTTGTACACCTTCAATAGACGAGCCTGCAGAGCAATATCACCTGAAAATGCTCTCCAAGAGGCCTCAAACTGATAAGCTGTTGTTGGTGGTGTTATGTTTTTCGCAGCTTCAGCCATGGCTCTAGATGCAGCTTGAGAAGCAAGCTGTTGAACAGATGCTTTTATTTCCTGCTTAGTAATTTTGCGATTTCTCTATCAATAGGAATATGCACAAATACTAACCATCAAAATTGCAGAAATACAATCAAAATAATGTAAATATACTGAAAAAAATATCGCAGAGGTAAAGCCCAAATATCATTTTAAAGTATAAAGAACTTGGAAATATGAAATATCATTTAAAAGCTAAAAAACCCTTAATTTTATTTTATTTCTATTTCTTGATGAAAATAAAAATAAAGTAGAAAAAAATACAAACAGGTGATTTTAACAAAGCTCCAAAAGAATATAATGTGGATAATTCATATTTAAACAAGTTATGAAGAACGTGAAAAATATTTCTGTGCTTTAAAGATAAGAAAAAAATAATTATTGCTTCTAAAAAGAACTAAAATATGCGCTGGAACTAGATTATTTGACAAGAGGGAAAGATTTCATGATATTTAACCTGCTCAAAACTGTTGCTTGCACTCAAACCCTCCTTAGAACCATGACGTTCTTGTGCTTGAGGCCTGCTTCTGGCTTTTGTATCTCTGGAACCAAACTCCTCCATTATGAGTGATTCTTTAATAGGTATTTGTGACTCATTACCCTGTCAAAAACATAACCAAACTTTAAGGTGTGGACTACATTTCCATTAAAAACATCAAACAAAGTAGTATTCAGCACTCCCATCCACAAACATAATGTATATCTTTAAATGTGATATTGAAAACTCTACTTCTTTGTACCTTTTGATGATGATGAGCTTCAGCCGGCCCAGACTTTTGAGTGCCATGTGAAATGGGCTGGATGCTGCCTCCATTAACTTTTTCTTCTGACTTTCCCACTTTTTGAGTCCCCTGTACAGTGTTTCTTAGAGCTCCTGATGCTTTCTGGAGAACATTCTAGACAACAGACATTAAAAAGTTAAATAAGTAATCTATGCAACAGAGAACCTAGGGGGAATAAAAGTAGACACAACCATAGAAGTTAATAACACACTCTGCTGGCATAGTGTTAAAGCCTGGTTATGAAATAAATGGCATTGTTTGTCATCTATACTCTCTACATAATAATATAAGTATATAACTATCTTCCCCTCTCTATCTTCATGTTCCTCTCCTAGTTACAATTAGGCTCCAATTGTCTTACGCCTAGAGTTACAAACACGTAAGGTTTTCTTTTCCTTATTGGACTCATCCAAAACAGAGTTCGAATCTGCAGGTCTATCAATATTAACCAAATGTCTGGTACTGACCACATGAACCAGCCATAATATGCACTGACAAACAACAGACTTCCAAGTTCAAAATTTACCATTTTCCATCAATGGTATCTGTCAATCATGGAAAACAGTTATATCTACTCCTATTTTTTCATGCAGCGATATTTTCTTTTCAATGAGATTCATCCTCTACACTCTTTATCATTTCCAATTTTTTACTCAACATTCCCAAATTGCTACTCAAGTATATTATCCCCTCATTCCATCTCTAATGTCTTGCTAACATCATAATTCTCTACTCCATCCTGATTTTAATAATCAGAGGCCCTACCATTCCAAAACCATACTTCAAGGTATCAATCCATTTGATTTTATGCTACATTTTTTAAGCTCTCTACTACTATTAAGATCTACTTTGCTAATTTATGCAGATGCCAGTATGTAAATTGGTTATTGGTGTATGTACCACAAGGTTTGAACTTAATATTTATGTGCAACCCAAATACCCAATATAGGCAATCCTAACTGTATTGTTATTTAAAAAAGGAAAATAATAAGTTATTAAAAATTACAACCTTTTGTGGTAGTTCTATATCAATATGGGAAATATTGATGTGCTTACTTTCTCATACAAAGACTTGGCATCAGCATATTGTTTCTTGATTTCTTGATTGTTTGGTTCCAACCTCAATGCAAATTCAGCATCTGCAATTTAAGAAGATAAGAGTCAACAAATTTAGATTTTAGAATGTTTTCATATTTGAATAATGAAGAGTATATCGCTTGGGTATTAACACACCCTCCATTGATTCTTTAATTTTTCCAAGTTCTTTTCTAGCTGTTGCTCTCCGAGAGTATGCTTTTATATAACGATCATCAAGATTTAAGGCCTCTGTACAGTCATCCTCAGCCTCTTGGAATCTACAGATACAAAATAGGTGAGGAAAGAACCATTCTGGCTTCAGAAAAACAGGTTCCATTCAAGAGAATCAATCAGGTGACAGACCATATAACATTTAATAGTAAATGGAAAAATTACTTTCTTTTAGTTTTATTTAAAATCCCACTATTGACCCAATCCACCATTTTGGGAATATTTTGATGAGTAAACCAGAATTCTTTAAATACAAAACATAAGCTTGCCTTCTGAGCTTGATATTGGCCATTGCCCTATTAGCATATGCTACAGCTGTTGGTGATAAGGCAATGCTCCTTGAATAGCAGTCTCTAGCTTCCTTAAACTTTTTCTGCTTGAAAAACTCATTACCCTGGAATATACAGATGGATTACAGTATCAGCATCATACATGACAACAACACTAAAATCAAACTATAATATTCTAACAGAACAATCTCCCTCCATCCTGTCACCTCAATACCAAAACAAAGGGAAGAAAAGAAAAATAAAAACCTACCAGGTCCTTCTCGGAAGCAGCATCAGGAACATCTTCAGGAACAAAACTACTGTGCACACCATTGAAAGCATCACTAATTCTTGATAAATCATACTGCCCAGGAGAATTTCTTGCCCGGTCAAAAGAAATAGCATCTCCTCTTGATGCCTTATCCACACCAACAGATCCAATATGTCGAGAAGATGAAGCCTTTTTGAATTGCCATCAGAATACCATACATAAAAATAAAAAATAAAAAGCATTAATTCATCCATACATGCACAATCACTTACATATTAGGGATATGCAATATGTGTAAAACTGGGGGGTCCTTTTCCTCGTTATAACACCATTTAAATACAAGGAATCATGGAAAATGAGAAGAACCTTGGAAAGAAATTATGCTTCCAACATTCCACAAAGAGATAATATGCCATAAACTCTGCGCTTCATATGAATGAAAAATGCAATTCTGAGCCTTGTTATCGATCTGAACCAATCCTTTGGCGCTATAATTATTCCTTATTTTCCATTATAAATGTTTATTGTTTTCAAACAGCATATTCACAGAGTGCACGTTTCGTCTGTACTACAATATACAAGAAACTAGCAATAACACATTGACAAATCTCCTTACATAAAGAAGAAAATCCCCACAAGTTACAAAACAGTATCACTAAGCACAACCATTAAAAAAGTGGAGGAACTAGTCAAACAAGGTAAAGTCAAGGTCGTTGATGCTACATTCCTATTCCACACACAACAAAGGGGGGGAAAAACTGCGTAGCAAATAGATGCTGAATTGAAGAATCACAATGCATGTTGAAGTACACACAAAGTAGAACATATAGCCGCAGTAGGGCGATGATTGAAAATTTTGAAGACGAAGATAAAATTACCAACATTTTCCTTTTGTGACTTCATTGTTGGCGCCTTATCCTTTCTAGAAAGTTCCCAATCCTGCAACTCGTTTAAGAACCCCTGGAAATCCTGTTAACAGGTGACAGAGAAAAGCCACGATTAAAATAGTTGAAATTAGAAGCATAGATGTCGAAAGTGCTAAAATAGCACCGCGAGGAACAGAGTTTACCATGAAGTGGCCTTCACGCGACCCACACACACAGAAGCGGCAAAAACACTGAACTGGAGCGAGAGAGACCAAGTTAGAACTAGCCACTTTAGAAAAGAAGAAGAAAAGAACTTTCGCGAGTTGCGATTGTTAAGTAGTATGGGCCAGCCCATGAGCCCATGATATAGTTATCAACATAATAATTAAAATTTAAGAACATATAATTTTTATTTTAATTTTTTGAGAACTGAGAAAATAATTTCTGGTGATGTAAATAAATAAAAATTGAAGAATAATTTATAATAATGCAGTTGAGTCATTGGGGTTGGGCCTGAAAGCATGGGTTTAGGCCCAGGAGTGAAATGACACAAAAGATTAGGGCTGTAGTCATGTCAACAGTGTTTTCCTTTCAACCAGCCCAGGCCCTTTCTTTTCTTTCATCCATCCATTCAATCTTAAAATCAAACACTCACACATTCAATCACCCATCACTCACTATCAATCTTTTTTATTTTCTTATATAATATTTTCAACTAATCTCTATTTATAATAAACAAATTATTATTTCAATTTTATTCAAAATCAACGTTAAATTGCATGAGTAACATTCTTACGTCAAAATTATTGCCAAGTACTTAAAAATGAGAAACAGAAATATTATATTTATATATTCTTTTAATTATATCATATTATCTTATACTTCTTTTTCTTCTTTCTTATTATGGAAATATAACTACTCTATAATTATTAAGAAACTCGCTATATTTTTATATAAAAACAGTTTTATATGTATCATCTAATTGAATAGGAAAATGGACTAATTCATATATTTAAGAACTTTGTGAAGAACAGTTTTCACGTGTAATTATGCATTCTGGCACGAGGACGAGTGTAGCAGATCGGACGACCCAGTGTGGCCAATCTTTCTATTTTAATTACACTGCACGTTTACAATCAGGTGCAGTTGTATTTTAGTTTTTTATTTTTATTTTTTTACTACGTTTGATTACTTATTTTTAAAGTTTCTTCTTAATAACATCATCTCTGGCTCTGGACATACTCCTTTATTACACCAAAATAAAATAAAAATAAAAAATGCAACTGTGCGTATAATATAATGTTTTATTAAATTCACACACGCACCGATGAATAATGTCTATTAATATGTTTTACTCAATAAAAAATGAAAATCATGTACTACATAAAACATGAATTAATGGATCATGTGCAATTATTTAGTAATCCTGACTTTTAATCTTTATTAAAAGTATTAAAATGATGTGCTTAGAAGAAGCGTGTTTGAACTTAGAAGACAGAGAAGAGAAGACATCGCGCGGAAAGAGCGGGGGAAAATTTGTGTCGTGTTGTGTTGTGAGGCCTACAAATCCACACGCATCTAAAATCCTTCGTACCACGACTCTGCAATATATATAACTCAGAATGAATAGAATGCTATCATTACCCACTAATATCATACTGTTTCATTTCCTTACTACTACTGTTTTTTTGTCCTCTCTTATGTCTCACTATTATTGCTATCTCCATTCCAGAGAATCTATCAACATGGATGCTTATGGCCTTTCCCCCCCACTACTTACTACTTAAGTTAACACACTTTATCTTACTTTAACTAACCAGCCACCATATATGCTATGCATTATGCAACCAACTAGAACACATGTAAAGTAATGTGCCTATTATATCATTTTGCCAAGTGTTATTGTAAATGAGTATCGTCGTTTGTAGGGTGTGCAAAAAATTCATATTAATCTAAACCGATCCATAATCAATCCAATCCGTATTGAAAAATATGATCTATTTCGAAAAAAAATTCGAACTGAACCATTTTATAAAACCAGTTCAATTATCCAATTCATTTTTACAAAGTAGATTGATTCGGTTCGGTTTAGTTTTTAAAAAAAATCAATCCATATATGAGTAAAAAGCGGATAACTGAACCGCACCGAACCGATCCAATTTCAAAAAAATCAAACCGATCCACTTTTATAAAACGGTTCGGTTCAGTTTGAATCGATTTTTGAAAAAACCGATCCATAAACACCCCTAGTCGTCACTTACCTTAGTGGGAGAACCGATTCAACACAAAATAGAAATAAAAGTTTTTTTTTATATTTTAAAATGAAATAATTGTATGTTAGGTGTTTTATACCACATCTATGATTGCTTTATAAAAATTAATTATAGCAAATGATCTTTGTTTTAAATAAAATAATTATATATTAGGTGTTTTATACCACATCTATGATTGCTTTATAAAAATTAATTATAGCAAATAATCTTTGTTTGTAAATTTAAAACTTAAGTTTTAATAATCCTATCCTTAAACATGTGATTAAGGGTTTGATTTCTAGTAAGCACCTATAAGAAAATATTTGTTAGGATGTCAACTACATAAATATATCCTAGAGCTAGTAATGTCAACTTCATAAATAAATCTTAGAGTATTTCTAATAAAATATATTTGCTAAGTTGGTTTAATAAAGTTTCAATTGTTTGAAACAACTCTCTTATTAGAGTAATCCTACTCGATAATGAAAGTTGCTTAATTATTATTTTTTTTTTCAATTTTTCAATAAATAAGTGTTCTTTATCATTAAAAAAATAATATTTTAGATCTAGTGAAAACCTCCAAATAATTGTTACATAATCAAGTCAAAATTAAAAAATATATAATTATGATTTTTTTTTTGAAATTCCTTAAAATTTATTCCATTATAACAAAATTGAATATGAGTGTCTAGTGATGACATGACACAATAGATACTATTAGTCTTACCTTTAAATGTACTAAGAAGCTTATATGAGTTATTTCCATTAAAATTATTTTTAGTACTTTAAAGGATTAATTACCCTTAATTTATAATTAAGAAATATCTTAATTAACCAGAAAAATATACTTGAGCCAATTTTAAATAAGTGGATTATTCCCTCTCAAGATTAATCCAAAGGTAAGATTAATAAAACTACAAGAAACTACTTATCGTTAATTTTTATAAAGTAAAAAAAGTCACATATGTCAACAAAAAAGGTCTCATATGCCAGTAAGAATATATTCAACATATACTTTTCATATTTAAGGAAAAATTATTCCAAATTTTCCTTTAGACTTCACTTATTTTTGGATTGGCGATATCCTTAGTATTATTTTTCTTTCTATACACACTAATTATTATTAAAAAAAATTAGCTACATATTTAAGAAACCTAAACCTAATGTTACTTGGACCAACTATTTGTCTTATTAATATGATGTGATTAAGCCTATGCGTTATACCCATTCCATAACATTTATTTACCTTCGAAACAAATTTTAAGGGATTTTTATTTATTTATGTATTTATTTAACAATTTATGTAAGATTCTATTATTTGGTAAAACAACATTTATTATATTGCATGTTAATGTTATTCTATAAATATAGATAAATAATAGTAATTTTATAATATATTTTTAGCTAAATTATGCATTTGGCTTCTTTTTTTTTTAGAAAAATTATTTTATCCTTTATATGTTAAAATATTCATTTTGATTTTTTATCTATTATATTTTGATCAATTCGATCCTTTTAAAAAATGATAACTTTGTGGCATGATTTTAAATCAATTTTTGACTTATTTAAGACCTAAAATTTATAACAATAGATTCAACAATATGAAAACTATGGAATTCAATTATTATTCGAATTCAAAAGAGTTATAAACATGATGAAAATTGTGTGTAAAATTTATCCCACGAGTAGCAATAAAATAATTTTTTTGAATTTTTTGATTATCTTTTTGACTTATGTTTATGTTATTTTCACTATGTTTATGAAACTATTTTATTTGACCTTTAGTTGTGAATGATAATTTTCACATAAGTGAATATAATAAGATAAGTTTTAAGTCTTAAATTGATTAAAAAATAATTTAAAATCATGTACCAAAATTATAAATGATCATTATTTCAAAATGACTATATTGACCCAAATTTATGAGATAAATGACTTAAAAGTTAACATTTTAAAAGATAGAGGAGAAAAATAAAATAAAAAATAAAAATATAATTTAGCCTATATTTTTTTAGAATTTTTTGTTAACGATTAAAATTTATTAAAAATAATTTTTTTAATTGAATCTCACTTCTTAATTAATACTGTTCTTTTAATTTATAATTCTTAATAAATTTAACTAATAATAAAACATGTATTAAATAATATGTTGCTATTTATACTTATTAAAAAAACCAATTTTCTTATGCAATTCAATTTATAAATCGGTGTACTATAATAATTTTTTACTTTTATATATATAATGTTATTCTAGATCCACCAGTTATTAAATTTCTCACTTATTCCCAAATACTCCATAACAACATTATTGTGTTATTGTAAATGACAAAAGAATATTGAAGGTAAAAAAAATTATTAGGAGAAAACCACTTTAGGACTATCTTAATTTGAATTTGGGACCATCAACAATAATATTAAAAACACAACATATATTTAAAACTAACTATTTAAAATATTTAACAATACAAACTATTTTTAATTAATATTATAAAATCAACAACGTATAATAGAAAAACTATTAATCAGGAGAAAAAATAAAAGAAAATGATATATATATATATATATATCACATTAAATACTACTTATTAATTAAATGATATTTTCTTAATTATTTCTTAAAATATTAATGAGTTAGTTTTTTTTTAAACATTAATATATTTGAAAACCTAAGTATTTTACTCGCTTTAGGTCACATGAAAATATTTGAAGTAAAGGAGAGCACCTGTTTTAATTTCATTACAATAAATATTGCGTGACATACAAAAATATTAATATAAATATGACATATATAATTATAAATTTATTTGATATATAGTTATACATAATTTTAATATTGATTTTAAATAAGATTTAATAATATATATTGTGTGATATTATAATTTATATATATATATATATATATATATATATTTTAATAATATATTAATATATATTATGTTTATAATATAAATAAAAGTAATTTTTAATAATGTTCTTGTGTTAGGATACACATTCCAATTATCTTTGTTGTAGCGGGTCGGGTCCGGGGTCTAGGTCTTCTCGTCCTTCTCTGAGTAGTCCGAAATGTGGGGAGTGCCTGCAAAGACACTCCAATGCTCAAGTAAGTGTTCGGTGTATTAAATGCGGTAGTTGAAAGTCTAATTACGTACCTTGAAGGGGGTCTATTTATAGTGTTTCTTATCGGGCCGTGATTAGGGACTGGGCCCCAAAAAATTAGGGGACTAAATTGGCATATTAAGTAAATTAATCTTTCCATAATCACCCTGGTATAAATCCGTGTCTAGGCCGAGCACACCGACACGTTCCGTTCCGTTAGTAGTCGGTTAGCTCGGGGTGCTCGGTTCAGTCAGTCACGGGCTCGGGTACTCGGCGTATTCGGTTATGGACTAGGGTGTTCGACCTGGTCGGCCTCCATATGGTATAAATAACAAATATTATATTATTATTAAACTATTTTAATATTTTAAGTCAATAGTACCATGATATATGTTTTTCTCTTCTCCTCAAACTTTGAGAAACTGGGACCATGGAAACAAAAGCTACTCCAAGGAGGTTCAAGGCATTCTTGAGAGAGTATGTGTAATGAGGTTCACTTCCCACAAAGAGATAGGAGCACAAGTAGTATATCCATTTTTCTTTTTGAAAAATATTCTTAGACACCTTTTATGTATAAACACTTTGGGAGAGATAAGAAATGATAATAAACAAATATTAATATGAAGATGATGTAATATGATAATAAAAGAGATAAAAATAAATAAAAATAAAAAGGTCACCTCAGTATTTATAAATTGTGAGTATCCAAGGATTAAAAAAAATTGTGGATGTCCAAACATCACATTTTTTTAATCTAAAGTCTTTTCACGTTCTTTGATCATTATTTTTTACAAAATTAAATTCATATACAATGTAATTCATGACATAAGAAACAAAGTTGTATGTAGTGTTGAAACAAAAAGAAAATGAAGTTCAAGTTATCGATTCATAGTAAGCATTAGAAATGTAATATAAACAATTCGTGTGCCTTAATGTATCGACTTTAAGTCTTAAAACTTTTGAAATTGTTAATATATGACATTTGGTTAGATATTTTTTATATACATAACTTGGGGATTTTAAGTTTGATACTTATCACTTTCATTTTTTCATTAGGAAGGTGGGTAGAGCTGTATATTATCAATGTTTTTAAGTCCAAATGGTTCGTGTGAAAGAGAATATTTGATGTAATTTAAACACTATTTATATGTTTGTACCTTGGCAATTAAATTTTAGGAATTGTTGATTCATGACACAATATTACAGCTCATTATTGTAGTTTAATGTTGAATTCGAGCATAATAAGGAAAGTATGCATTATCCACACTTCAAGTCTCCAACAACTAGCCTTTACATAAAGAAATCATCCTAGAGATATGATATAACAATCATTTATCTTTACCAAATCGTTTAGTAAGCTTTTCTAGAATTCTCAATTCATGATAGTAGGACCATGATTGAACAATGCTTCGTGCATATCACTTACCACTTGCATTTCTTTCCACATACGTAGGTGGCAAAATCAAAATAAGGCTACATATAAGATTGAGTGCAATCAAATATTTTTAGTGAACAAAATATAACGTGTTTAGATCAATTAATCGGGAAAAAAAGTAATCTTTTATAAATATCTACATGATATTTTTAAATACTAATTATGTTTCCAAAATTAATTTTAAATTTTAGATAAACTCCGTCGAGTCTTTACTGTAGAAGCAAGTGGATGTTACTGTAATGTCCTTGTAAACATGAATTTTATGTTGCAGCAAATAAAGGCGAGTACTTGTACCATGTGGCTAATTAATAAACTGTTTTTGAGTCAAATTTTTTTTATTGACTTATTGTGTTTCACTATTTTGTCATTAATAGTTATATTCCCCGCAGTAATTATAAAATCATTACCCTATCCAAATTATAAAATAGGTAAATATGAATCAAATATTAAGGATATTATTTTATTTTATTCCATAAAGATATTAATTTAATTAATCAAACTATTTTTATTACTAGTGATGTAAAATATAAAAAAAAAATACAAAAAAAATAGTTTTATAATTTTAAACATTAATATAATTTATAACATTGAGTAATTAAAGTGTCAGAAGAAGTGTTTTTTTTTTTCGGGTGATGAGAATGGTGAAAGTGTATTATATCTGATTCCTATGTATAAGAAAATTGATATATTAAAACCGTTTTGGAATTATTCTTATTAGAAGGAAAATGTTGTTACCGGTCCTCTTATAAAATAAATAAAAAAATCCAAACTTCAATAAGGACAACCGGTTCCTTCACTAAATTTAGCTACTAGTGAAATAATAATTCATTCTTATAGATTTTTAATTATGTTTTTTATGGCAATTATCTATTGACTTTGTGATGATCAAAACTTGACCGATCACTTTTCATTATTACTAAAGAAAAATCTTTAAAGTTGTTTCTATTCTTACATCTTTAAGTGCAAATCTCATTTATCCCCCAATCTAAACTTTAATTTTAAAAAATGTACATCTCATTTTTTAATATAACAAGAATTGTTCTAAATTTTTGTATTAGTACTTCCTAATAATTAAGTTGAAACTCTACAATCTAAACCTTAAACATATATTAAAAAGAAATAGAAATGGGTAGTGATACATAATCAAATATAGATCTAAGTTACCAAATAGGCAAATACTATTACACAACTCATTACTGATCCCACAAATGCATAACCATTAAAGTACAAAGGATTATTTCCTAAATTTACAAGAACCTTATTAGCCTCCCCAACAATTCACCTTAGCATCAAGCATGGTTGCCACTTGCAGGCCCTCCAAGTGTCAAAACCAACCCTTGAAGGTCACTCCTCATTTTATTCTCTTTGGTTGTGCCTCTCATGATTGGTGATGGTTGAGCTAGCACAGGTTGCCTCAAGCCACCATGGCATACTTGCTTGGAATCTCTCACATGATTTGAGTTCATAAATTGTTGAGTGGAGGGAAATGAGCATGATAAAGAACAGTTTGGCTCAACACATTTGGAAAAAACTCCTGCTCCCTGATGATACATACATTTATTTGTTACATTGCTTGCACTAATGCACTATAATCAACAAATTATTTCATGATCCGAGATTATTAGGCGTTTATGGTCTCATCAATCTTTGAGTAACATACAACTAAGATTTTGAATTTGAGTAGATAAGACTTGGTTACTTGTTACATGAAGATTGGTTGGGACTATATAGTGGCCCTCTGTCTATTGTCGTGAGTCGTGACCAATCTTTAAGTAACATATATAACCAAGATTTTGAATTTTAGAGATAATAAAACTTAGTTACGTGTTACATGGAGATTAGTTGAGACTATAGGGATCCTTTGTCTATGCTTGTGACCAATCTTTGAGTAACATATAACCCAGATTTTGAATTTTAGAAATAATAAAAGTCAGTATCATGTCACGTAAAGATCGGTTGAGGTGATTGTGGATTATCTAATAATTTCTCAAAATCATGACATATTAGGGAAGCACGATTCAAAAACTTACAGGTGGAAATAAGACTCCTCTGAAAACTCTTCCATTCACAGCTGCAGTCATGAGTAAACCTGAATCAAAGGCTCCATCAACTTTCCCCCGAACTTCAGCACCAATCTAGGATACAAAAACCATGAAAGAACAGTTAACTAAGAATAATAAGAGAAAAATATTTGTGCAGAGTGTAATTCTAAGATTTGAAAGCAAAGGGTCCACCATGTGTTGGTTGTCTCGAGCTCCTTTTCTATCCTCATCAACATGAACATACTGATTTGGTTGATGTTCCACGAGACGAGGACTTCTTTGTGTGGTATTCTTCAAAACTGTGTTGTTACTCAAGACATTGTTTAGCTGGCTATTACTTGGACTTTTATTGATATGTTTGAACCAATGATACCGCTGAGAATCCATGACAGAAACATTTGTTCTTTGACCTGGTGTCAGTTCTTGATCAGATTGAGATGGGGATGAATGCTGGGACAGTGAAAGAGAATGTTCTTCTTGTTCTGATTCAACATCCCACACCTTTGCAACAGCAATTCTCCTCCTCTTCTGTTGCGAAGTGCCTGCATACAATCACAACTTTGAGTCAACAATTCCTTGACTCTTATTAAATGGTCTCTCAAAGTTTCAATCAATTTCTACGGGACATGTAAATAGTGTTATTAATTCTTTGTCATAAATTGAAAACTCGATTGCATGTCACCCAAAAATTAGTTGAGATGATAGTTCAAGACTATGTAATAATTTCTCGGGTTAAAAATATCTTAACCCACCAGAATCGAAATGACAAGGTTGCCCTTTATGCGAAACAACTTCATAAGCCCATTTTCCCAAGACTTCTACTTCATTCCCCGTACGTGGAGTTGTCTGCTTTAAAACATTGTTAGTTTTTTTCTTGTAAAAAAAAAAAAAGAAGAAATAAGCTATCATATCAACAAGAAGTCATAACAACGTTGCTACGTGAGCTTTTGTACCGAGTTGGTATCTGTTACTCTAGGTATGGTCCTCTTTTCTTGATTCCAATAAGTTCCAAAATCTTTGCACATGGAAATGTTGTAACGTCCATTTGGATGGCCTGATCCAAGTTGCAACACTAACAATTCGTTCAAAGGACGTTCATCTTCCCCACAACTGCTATAAGTGAAAAGTGAGAAATCAGAGTGAAAATCTTATGTGCAGAAGGAAATAGAAAACGTAATAGGAATTGTCGTTGTCACATTTATTAACTAATAAATTGTAGTAAATGGTAACCAACCAACCCGCCATATATGGCGATATCCATGTTTACTACAATAGCTGTGTGAGAAAATCGCCCCTGTGGCGCTTGACCTCGTACATCAAGCTGAGTCCACGAACAAGTGCAAATATCAAACACCCAGGCGTCATTATAATAACGTTTATCTCCCACCCCTCCAATGATGTACACCTGAAATTATGAAAATTTCATCTACTTAGAGCATTTCCAATGGTACATTTTAGCGTGTCCTATCATGTCACATTAGATTTATGAACATTATCTTATTGGTTCATGTTAAGTTGGTTGAACAGGATGCATGAATTATTGGAAATTCTTTGGTATTGAGTTCGATTCTGAAGGATAAAAAAATCAACTGGCATAATCATCAACTTAAGAACCCCAAGAAAACTTGCATTAAGAGATGTTCTTAGTTGTTAAGTTAAAAATAGTACCATATATTAAGTAAAACTGTAGTTGCACAGAAATTGAACAACAACATAACAGATAAGAGGAAATGAATGTGACAGCTGAAAGCTGATGAAATGTAAAAGAACTTGCCTTGGTTCCAATACTCGTAGCTGCATGACCTGCCCTTATTCCGGGGGAAGAGCCTTGAATTTTCAACTGTCATCAAAATGCAATGAAACCCATTGTTGAAGTCCAATGCAGTTCCATACCAACAAAACAAACTATGAGAGACAACAAAAGAAAACCATACCCTTGACCAAGTCATTGTATCCATGTCAAACACATGAACATCACCCTGATACTGATCACCACAGTCTCCACCATACACAATAAGCTTGTTCCCAACTGCAACAGTGCTATGACTGTCCCTAGGAACAGGCAAATCACCTTTGACTAAAGGAGAAGTCCACCTCATGGTCCTTAGGTCTAGAATATGTAAATCATTTAAATAGTTTGCGTCACCTTCTCCACTACCACCAAAAATCACTAGTCTTTGATCACCAACTAGAGTGGCAGTGTGGCTTTCCCTTGGAGAAGGAGGAACCCCTTCACATTTAGGACGAATCCACTCTTTGGTAACAAGATCCAATATGCGAGTGTCATTCACCTTCTTGAACCCATTTGTGCCACCAAACACTATCATTCTGTGCCCTACAAGAACAGCACTATGGCTATCTCTAGGGCCTGGCTTTTCACCCTTGGTAGCCAACTTGCTCCAATCCATTTTGTCAAGGTCCAAACACAGCACATCTTCGAAATGTAGCCCCCCACAACACCCCTGGTATGAGTTGGCACACAACATTTTGTTATAAAGCTAACTAGCTAGATTGATAATCTTTGAGGTTAGTTGTGCTTAACAAGATAAAATGAGAGTTTTGCAATGATTAAATTATACATCTTAAGACAAGAGAGTGAAGAGACAGCTAATCAAATAATTAACTGAGAGGTTTTCAGATTATTAAGACATGCAAGAAGTGTTTTTTTAGTGCATGTATAAAATGAGAAATATAATGCAAGGAGGAGAAAAACCAAATGTGTATATTATATAGCTATATTAAGAAAGCAGAAAGTTGATCGTTTCCCAAACAAGAATGGTCTCACTAATTAGAGAAAGAAAAATGAATTCAGTCAATTATCACCTAGAAATATATGCAGCAAGACAAAATTAGGACAAAACTAAAATTCAGAGAAGAAAGTTTCTTTGTTATTAACCAAAAATAGCTATAGGTGAGAAAGAAGTAGTAGGAGCTTATGAAATTAATGAGCACATCACAAAAATGTAAATTCCCTGCAATGAAGACATTAACAACACATCCCCTACAAGCCAGAGCTCCAAAAAAGTAAGACTAATGAGAAATTCAGACACCATAAATGGGGCTAACCCAGTAACAAGCATCATAAACTACTCAAAAGTTATTACAAGGAACTACATAAAAAAAATGTTCTTTTTAATATTCAATAAATAAAAAGGATTTCACTCGTACCCCAAACGCATACATAAGCCCTCCAGAGAAGCAAGCAGAGTGCCCCCATCTTTCAGAAGGATTAAAGCCCAAAACCTTTGGATACAACCACATTGCTTTCTTCTTGGCTGTTTCAGCAGCTGGAGACCCCATTTTTGTCTCTCTGTGAGCGTGTGGTGACTGAGAAGGTTTAAGCTTTTAAGTAACACTTAAACACAGTGCTTGACAACGATGGAGAAACAAGAGCAGGGAAAGAAAGAGTCAAAAGAGAACATGAACAAGGCAAGTGATGTATCAACTATCAATGTCAATGGACATGAAAAGATGGGCGCTTTCAAGTCTAAATCACTGGCAACCAACAGCAACAGATGGTTGTTGTGAAAAGAACATTATTTTCTTTTCTTTTCTCTCCCCACATTATAAATTTCTTGTAAAGGTTACATCACTCACATACATGTAGTCTGGTACCCTATAACAGTGAAATAAATAAATGAAGAAAGTTGATTCTTAACATTGACGTAACGGAACCAGCATGCATGATATGATATAAACATATACTCACACACACTAGTAGTAGTGTCATTATACTGCAAACATACTACATGGTTGGATAAGATAAGCTTGATGAACATTAACTAGTGGTGTAATGTCATGGAATGTGACT